ATATAGCTAATATGGAGCTAATTAGCTAATTAATTGAGCTAATTACAATAATTAAACAAGCTGCACAGTTCAAATAGGAGTGTAAGTCTAGCCAAAACTTTTTTTCTAGTTTTGGATATTTTAAACCCTTTTTCAGTATATACAGAATGTGCTACCTGTGTCCCTTTGGGTAGATTTCCCCTCACTTCCTGTCCCAGAGAAGCAACAGGAAGTGAGTAAAAAATCTCTAAAGTGATTGCTGAATGCTTTAACTTGTTGCTCTGAAATTATACCCTTTGTGATCTAGTTGATAGGCTAAATGACTAGATGTTTCATGTTTGACCGGTCATGTTACAAAGATTAAACTTTTATTGTTAAAGGAGATACTGCAAGAACATATTTGTTAAAAAAAGAAAATAGAATTTATAAATTATTAACATGTATTGACATTTCATTGATGCAAGTCTGTTTGCAGTGTCTGATATGTTATTTTGAAAGGCATGTTTAGAAATATTAACAAACCGACCGCAATTTCCACAAAATATAAAATAAGCTTCATGTACCCATTTCACAAGTTCTTGTCATGCTGAAAAACTAACTTAAAAAACTAATTGAAAAATTAATTGTTTTCTTACAGAGAGCTTCTTGATACCACGTGCCGAATAGCCAACACGTTGAAGAAGCATGGCATACAGAGGGGAGATAGAGTGGCCATTTACATGCCCGTGTCACCTCTTGCTGTGGCCTCCATGTTAGCCTGTGCCAGGATCGGTGCCGTACACAATGTGGTGTTTGCTGGCTTCAGTGCTGAATCTTTGACAGGAAGAATCAATGACGGTAAGTGGGAACATATGCCGTAAAATTATACAATGATTATTAGCCACAGAACCTACCATGTCCTTACAAGCTTACAGTGTAGATGGGAAAATTACATCAAAACAAGACTTTTATTTGCGGGATGACACAGTTGAGAAACCTTTAAAGTCCAACTCCTGGCAAACTTTTTTTCTCTAGTTTTGCACACTGGAGAAGAGTCAGAACCTCTTTCAACTTTTTATTGCAGTGTCTCTGTTACTGCTGAACTTTGGGCACAAAAAACTTCATTTAATTATATATCTCAATAGCCACAAAGGATATAAATCAACTTTGTGCACCAAATGCCTTGGCAAAAATAGTTATTACTTTGTACATGTAGCAGTGACATTATTACTGTGCTGTACAAAGCCTGTGCAGAGAGCAGAGCTGTGGGAGGGACACAGCAGGACCCACCTACTACAGACTGCCTGTAGAAAACTACAGAAGGGGGCGTGCATGGATCCCCTGCTGATAGGAGCAGTACAGAATGAATGTTGCCATTGTAACATCTGTGTCCATCCAGTTTTTACTTCCATCTTGCGATGGAGGAAAAAAATAAATTTACTGAACCCATGCCTATGGGGAGTCAGATGTAAGTGGACATATGTCCATTTACATCAGAATACCCCCGATCCATCATGATCAGGTCCACCAAAACAGAACTCTGTTCAGTTTGGTTTTCCAGACATGGACAGAGTAATCGAATGTAAATGGATGCACATCCATTTAGATGTGGCTGCCCATAGACTAACATTGGGCTTCCAATCAGATCCACCTAAAAAACTGGCAACTGAAACGGCTTTAGCTTTTTCTCTCGTTTTGTTCTGGGGAAAAAAGTATATATTTCCGATAGGGACAAAGACAGTTATGAAAACCTGGCAGAGACTCTAAACTTTCCCCATTTTTTTCAAGTATTGTCTGTAGTAGTGTATTGGCATTGTTTAGACAAATATATAATTTTTTCTCTTTTTTGATCTGTTGTTGTATGATATGCTATGGTTGGTACTTGCTAGGGCACATTAAGGTGCATACACACGGCCACCTGTGAGTAAATGTAAGCAGTTTTCCCCGCCAGGAACCACAGGTGCTGCATACAGCAGCCCTTAGAAATGAATGGCAATATGCGGGTAAATGCCAGACTTACGTACACACACCCACATATGGGTGTACAACTCTGAAGGCAGACAGTCTGCACTCAGAGTTGTACGCTCGTATGCATGTGTGTACAATGGGTGAAGAGGGTTCTTTACAGTATGAGCGGTTAAGGTCTGGAACTCACTGCCATCGGCAGTGATTTCTGCCAAGAGTGTAGATTTGTTTACGAAACGTTTGGACAATTTCTTGAAGGACCGTAATATCCAGGGATACCAGTATCCCTAAGAATGAGATGATGCGTGGACCTATATGGGTTGGACTTGATGGACATATGTCTTTATTCAACCCCAAATACTATGTAACTATGTAACTATGTGTATTTACTTGTGTATTGCCATTGACTTCTATAGGAGGCTTTTCACAGCACCAGTGGCTCCCTGCAGGTGAAAAACACTCAAATTTACGCTATATGCGCTATATATTACCATATGCACGAGCCTTGAAAGTGACACTAAATTCAGGCATAAAAATTTAAAAATGCATTCAAGTACCCTAACTATTAACAATACTGTACCTTGTCTGCGCAGCTGTAGAGCCTCAAATTATCTCTGAATTGGTGCTGACACTGTCCTTCCTACTGGAGGGTAACTACTTTTGTTCTCCATATTCCGTTGTGTGTTGTAAAGTAGCCACCATTCCAAGTTCGCTGCCGTGATGCACTACAATCTCAATACAAATTTGTAAACTAAACATGAGATTGTAGTCCATCACAGGAACGAGCTTGGAGCGGTGGCTACTTTACAACACACACAGGGACCATGGGGAACAAAGTAGCCAACCTCCAGAAGGAAGGACCAAATCAGAGATGATTTTAGGATCTACAGCCAAGTGATACACAAATAAGATACATTTTTGTTAATAATTAAGGTACTTGAATGCATTTTTAAGATTTAATTGCTGAGTTAGTGTCACTTTAAGTGGTCTAGCAACAATAACATATAATACGACAACAGATAAAAAGAAAAATGTTTTACAGGTTCAGCCACCCATATGAATGAGCCCTATGACATAAGAAGGCCTAGGGCAAAGATCTAAATAGTAATTTTTTCTTAGGGAAAAAGAAGGTTCATATTTAGCATCGGAAAAAGGGAGGAATGCTACATTTATATTGTGCCTTTTTAACCAACTTGAATGTATAATAATCCAGTTTCTTTACATGTTAAAGAAACATTCTGTAAAAAAACGATTGACCTCCAGTATGGGATGACAGGCTGCTGCAATGCATTTCAGGAATTTCACATTTCAAGGTTGTTGGGAAAACTGTGGAAAGGGAGGAGGCTGCAGTGGAGTGAGCGATAGGAATGTATAGGACAGTCCCAGCCAAGAGGAGCCTTGCAGACATGAATGAGAAGAGAAATAGGAATCCAGTTCACAGTGCTTAGTCTTGGAGGTTGATTTATAAATGTTGTTCTGAGAAAAGGATTGCGTAACACTTTCTTTTCTCCTAATCTATGGTTTGTGGAGTCCACAGCTGATCAGTCATGATTCTATTTTGGTTCCTGAATTTGTTCTGTCATCATATCAGGCTAATATAATCCAAGTCGGAAAGACTTGCCAGCTTTCGTGTTGCTCTCTCTTCTTGAACACACTCTACTCTGGATACATTAATTTGGAGTAACAAACACTACAGATGAAGTTAATTAGAGCCCTCTTTTCATTTATCTTATAACACAGAAATACATTTTAAAAAAATACAACACAGAAATATGCGCACATTTAAAGGGGAAATGGAAACATAGAAAATTCATCAGAAAATTAAATGATAAATTATATATTCATATAAATATGTCTGTCTTCCTGGTATGTAATTCATAGTTGCACAAAACACACATACTGTAATCAGCCTTGTGCATGAAGTACTGAGTTCTCTGACAGTCAATTTCAATACTCCAGGCTCACACCAACACAGACTCATAGATGTGCTACAACACTTAGGGGTGTTTTTATAAACAATGAGCAGAGTCATTCACCCTGCGAAAATGTACATTCTGTGTGAATGGAGGCAAAGTGCAAATGTTATTAGCTTATTTTCTTTCCAGGTTAAATGTAATATCAGGAAAATACCATGTTATGGCCACTAGATGAAGCTGATGAACACAGCAAATAAAGACTTATTTCCTATGCTCCTCAGCTCCATCTAGTGGCCATAATGTGCTATTTTCCTGATATTATGTTCGACCTGTAAGGAAAATCTGCTAATAACATTCATTTTTGCCTCCATTCACACAAAACAAAAATGCAATTTTCCAGGATGAATGGCTCTATGAATTGTTTATAAATACACCCCATAATTATTGGCAGTGCCACTTGTATCTCTAGTAGCAAACCTAAACTTCTGAACACAAAATATCAACATCAGTTAATTAAAGGAGTGGGGTTAAGGCTTTTTCCCATAGTTCCCAACTATGGGGTTAAGGCTTTTTCCCATAGTTCTCCTTAGGGTACCCGTAGGACACAAACTAGCGTCCTCCCGTCACCCTAGGCTCAGTATACCGCAAGCTGTAGCTCGCGGTATACTGAGACGCCGCAGTATACTGCTTGCTGCTGCTCGCGGTATACTAGGATGCCGGAGCTGAAGCGGATCCCGACAATTATGTCTGGATCCGCCCAGCTGCGTGACTGACAGCTGGCTCTGCCTATCTAGAGGCAGAGCCAGCTGTACCCGCCCCTTCCGTTCCGCCAGTCAGCGCTGGCGAATCGGAGCGGGGAGGGGGGAATCCAGCCCCTCCCCTGTCACGGCAGAGAGCTGTGACAGGATCGAGAGGTGAGCGAACGACGGTATGTGTTCGCTCACCTCTCGATCTACTGAGCAGACCTGTGACAAGTTGTGCAACTGAGAAACCTCTTCACTTCCCATTAATCCCCTCCTCCAATTAGCACTTTCCCGTGGCTGGTGCAAAAAGCCTGCACTGTACTGAGTAACCGCAATAAATACACCTGACAATGTTTCTGTTCATAAAAACACATCCGCAAAGGAAGGACATATAGGACCCTTTTAAAAAGTTCCTTGGTCACACCCAGGGCAATGGAGCATTGCCAACTGCAGTAGAGTAAGTTAGGGAAGTACCAAAATACAATAATTCTAATTTGTGTTTATATCTCTCTTATTTTTGCCTACTTTGCCTGAATCTGTAAAGCTTGTAACAGATATACAGGCAGACAAAATGGGGTAGGAAACCCAAGGGTGAGACGTTTTCCAATCCAGGAGACAGCAGGATTGTTTTTATGAGCCAGCCCTATTGACAACAACCAGGGAAAACCTCAAAAGTTAGGCGCCAGCTGTGACTATTATAACATTTAATTTTAGACATACTTGAATAGCATTTTCTGGCTAACATTTTTGCAATAATAGTCATGTAACACGCTTGATGACAATAGGAGAGGAACCAGAGTTGTAAATTAATACAGCAATTCACTTTGACACCCGTCTCCTAACTGTTAAAGCTGAATTCCAGCTGTACCTTCAGTTCTGCACAGTTGTACAGGTTCCTCTGAAATTCCTTATTATGCTTTCATTGCACACTGTAGGCTACACAAAGTGTGTAATAGCAGGGTGTTGTGATGTTTTTAGGAAGCTATGTACAGGACCCTGTCAGCCCCTCGCATCAGCTATGACATAGCTCTATAATTCCCACATGGCACAGAGCTACCTCTGGAGTCCCGTGGTAGAGGGAACACCCCAGCAAATTGAGAAAATTTCAAAAGTTAGGCATCTGCTGTAATTTTAAGGAACATTGGCAACCTGGCTCCTGGGATTTGTCCAGCCCTGAGATAATCTGTGAATTGTTTTAGATGCATGGGAAATTGTGGAGATGATCTAATTCTGCCCTGCTTCTTTTTTCTTTTAGTAAATCACTGAAATTTTAATCTGTTGCCTCCTGAGCAAGCTAAGTTGTAGATAAAATGTGGTCTTCCCACCTGATTATAACGCCCCCATGAGGAAAACATGTTAAAAAAAGCAAATTAAACTAAAGAATTTAAAAATCTTTCAACCAATATGTTTTGGATGATATTTGTACTTCTTTTTGTCATAAACCTGTGAGAATGGCGTTATTACACTAACTTATTTCCATACAAACCAGATGTAATCTTATCCTAATAACACTAATAATAGTGTTAACTATATTAATAACACTATCCTCACTATTTTACATTAAAATTTGAATTATGTGGTATGTTTGTAGTCAATCTTGCTGTACATATCTTGAACAAATTATGTAAAAGAAGCCTTGAAAGAAATTGCTGAATTTTTTTCACATTGTTTCCAATTCCTTTTTAACTAAAACCTATACAATAAAATATATGTATTTAAATCTGCATTACAAAATTAGAGGAAGCCTGTACAGACGGAATTAGAGGGGCCTGTCATTGTTGATTTCCTAAAATGTCTAGTTACATGGCTGCCCTTGTCTTAAGTACTTACAAAAAAAAGCATGTAGCCAGTTAAGTTGCATTGAAGTCAGAACTACCTATATGTGACAGCACTTGGTATATGCAGTAGGTAGAACATCATATATTTTGTTTTCTCCTTAAGTAGTTTTCAACTTTACAGGAAAAAAATATACTTGCCTGGCTCTCATGCTAAACCTCTTTCTTTAATACTTTGAGAAACTGACCTGTGTAACTGTAAGGACTTTTGACCATTCTCTGTATACTTGCTCTAGTCCAGACCTTGTATTTTCAGAGGAAGGTCAGTAATGGCAGCCTCCACATTTCTTTCATGACAAGTTCACTTTAAGGACCAGCTTCTGACAGAACTCATTTTCAGCTGTGGATAGGATACAGAAGGGTAAGAACATCTGCTGTTGCTGTCTGGGGATTTTCCCCCACCTTGTATCCCCCCTGTGACACCAAGAAAAGAAATTAGGGGAAACCAATGCAAGAGCAAGAGCAAGAGCAATATAAAGCTGACAGAAGTTCTAACACTTCCCCTACTACTATGAAGTTTTGGTTGTATTCTATGTCTATGTCCAGATTTTTGACTGCTTCTTGCCCCTCTGACAGCCTCCCATTGTGTTAGAAAGTGAAGGGGAATCTTCCCAATGGTTACATAGACAACAACAAAACCCTGAGAGAGTTTTCAGCCTTTAGTGACTCTATCCAAAACTAAATGCACAGCTTTGGCTGGTTTTGGGCTTTCATCCCAAAAGACAGCCATACGGTAGTTACCAGAGAAAAATTCTGGCTCCATCTGTCTGTTACTATATAACTTTGCTCTTAAGGCAGCTACTGTATCAGAAGTAAAGACCCACATAGAAAGAATGCAAGCAGAGGTTTCTTTTTTTTTATTACAATAGAAATAAAATTGTCCTACCCAGAATTTTCTGTAGCTTGTAACAGAATGCTACATCCCATAAAGTTTGCCATTGATTCACATTTAAAATAGTGTAACCCCGGGCATATTGTTATGTAACTGGAATTTATACCTTCATTTTCTATATCCCTTTATACAGTTTATTGTAATGTTTGGCAAGTTTATTCCTAACATCTGTCTAAACTTTCCAATCTCAATAGCAAGCTGCAAAGCTGTCATCACTTTCAACCAGGCTGTGAGGGGTGGAAGAGTAATAGAACTCAAGAAGACTGTGGATGAAGCTGTGAAGAGCTGCCCTTCAATCAAACAAGTTTTTGTCGCTCAGAGGACTGAGAACAAAGTCCACATGGGTAATCTTGACATACCTCTTGAAGAAGTACGTTATTTCTGTGTATACTATGAGATATGGTGCTTAATTTACTAATATTTGAAGTGATGTGCACTAGAGCTGCAGCTAACGATTATTTTCAAAATCGATTAGTTAGCCGATTATTAAGTTCGATTAATCGGTTAATCGGATAAAAAAAATCAAATACATTTTAAAAAATGGCTCCGGTGATGGGACAACTAGTTTGTATTGAGATTGTAGTCCGTCACAGGAGCAAGCTTGGAGCGGTGGAAGTAAAAAAGAAAAAGGTGTGGTGTGCAATATAGTGAAAGGAAAAGTGTAAAATTATACAGCAGTGAATGCAGAATGGCACCGGCTATAGAGAACTACAAAACCCAGCAATAGTACATTATACAGCGCAATGCAGAATACCACCAGCTATAGAGGAATACAACAAATCCCAGCAATAGTACATACTAGCTGGCGGTATTCTGCATTGTGCCATATAATGTACTATTGCTAGGTTTTGTAGTCCTCTATAGCTGGTGGTATTCTGCATTGCGCTGTATAATGTATTATTGCTGGGATTTGTTGTATTCCTCTATAGCTGGCGGTATTCTGCATTGCGCTGTATAGAGGACTACAAATCCCAGCAATAATACATTATACAGCGCAATGCAGAATACCGCCAGCTATAGAGGAATACAACAAATCCCAGCAATAGTACATACTAGCTGGCGGTATTCTGCATTGCGCTGTATAGAGGACTACAAATCCCAGCAATAATACATTATACAGCGCAATGCAGAATACCGCCAGCTATAGAGGAATACAAATCCCAGCAATACATTATAGAGCACCATGTGTGGGAAACTGCAGGCTTACCTGAGCAGTCTTCCAGCAACTTGCTTTTGAGATCAGGCCTATCGGCGGCTGTCCCCCCCCCCCAC